CGGGAAAGGACGTCTGGCCTAGCTCCCTGCCTCTGCTCTTGCAGCAGCATTCTGCAATGAGGAAACGCCAAGCATGGTGGGTGTAGAGGTGTCCAAAGCTAATGGGGAGACACTGGGGGTTCTTTCAGCTAGGCTGTATGGGGCCCTATAATTTCTAATGGCACTCTGGTCCGACTGCACAATCTCTGTGCAACCCCCATAACCTTACCTGGAACCCATGTTGTCCAGTCAACTTCCACCCAAGAATTTGGCAAATTTTGTAGAATCTATGCTGCATGGCCAACAATCAATGGGACCCGTAGTCTTTTAAGGTTTTATTTTCCAGATACACACTCAGTGAGCCCCCATAGTGGGCCCATGCCATATGAGAACTTGAAATTTGTCAGACCAGGCAATGTTTTTTTCCATTCTTCTCCTATTGGTGAACCCCATAGCCTCATCTTCCTACTATTGCTCCCATTTACAGGATTGCATTGCGGTGCGATTCGATGCCATTCAATCTCAACAGCACCCAGACCCACCTTGCTGATGGATGGGCTGCCTATAAGGGTGCACTAGGGGTTTAACGGTCCATGATGGTGTAAATGTGCCCATAGTGGACAGGCATGCAAGGCTTAATGGTCTATGATAGTGTAAATGGGCCCATAGTGAACTGGCATGCAGGGCTTAATGGTCCATGATGGTGTAAATGGGCCCATAGTGGACAGCACTATTACCCGGTCTAGTCTGAGAATCTTTCTACAGCTCCTTGAATCACACATCTTCACCTTTCTAATACTTGGCTTGAACCATGACTGACCCTCTTGACCTTGTCTGAATGCTCTATGTATTGAAATGTAGTCACCTGATTCATGATTTGGCTATATGTCCTGAGGAGCAGCCATGTGGTGGTCAAGGAGTATGTAAATGTCTTCAGCTTGACGTGTAGCTGTCCGCTCTCCTAAGCTTGGTGAACTGGTCCTTCCATGCTATAGACCAGCGCCTAGGATTAAGAGCTGTAGACTTGGACAATATGGTCTCTGTGCAAAGAATTGGTTTGAGGTGAACAGTAAACTCAACAGGGAGGTCGGTCACATTAGATTAGAACTTTAATGTATAGGCAGCATTGACTTGAACAAGTGTCCCGAGGAGCAGGTGGGAAGATAAAAGGGGCTACAGAGAAACACAAACTGGAGAGCAAAATAACATGATATTGTTCATGGGTTCTTCTGAGCACCAAAGCCTGGATCATACCACCTAGTGCCCGCTATGATAAGGATACAAAATCGGGGTGGGGAGTGAAAAGAAATACAAACACAGGGTCTACCCCAGTCACAAGACTTTCCAGTGCCATCTCTTTGATGTCCGGGATGTCATAAGATAAGCGTGTACCAAGTGTAGGAACCTTTCGGTGTCATCTGCTCTGAGGTTCTGAGAAGCCGGATGGAAGAGACAGGGAGCTACCCATAAACTGAACAGCAAATTGGTCTCAATGTTGTCCATCTCCCTCAACGTTTCCTCCCAGCAGCTCCATCTCTGCCCATGAGTTCCTCAAAAGACAAATGCCAACATATCTCTTCACAAACATACAATGGGGTATCATTTATAAAAAGCAGTTCCCACCCTTCCCCCTCTCCCGTATCACGAAGGGGTTAAAGCTTTCACCTGTATGTGACCAAACATACCGCCACTGGCGCTGTACACTGAGGAGCAATCGGCTTTATAAAAGAAAAACACTTTGTGGAGAAGATTGTAATGGTTGTGATTATACTAGTTTCCTGAGGAGCTAATAGGAAGGAAGAGGGAGCTATAGAGGAACAAACGCTTTAAGGTTTTATGTGACGTTCTCCATTCAGTTTCTTCCTGGGAGCTCCATCTTATTGCATGGGTTCCGCAGGAAACCAATATGGGGTAGGGCTTTAAAAGCAGTGTATACCCTTCCCTTTCCCATGGTCTTCTCTAACTTCCTCCCGGGAGATCCACCTTTGCCTATGGGTTCCTGAGAAAACAAGCATCACCTTCCCGCTTCCTAGTTTTGCCAAGCACACACGGTATGGGGTAGAGCACCAACTTTTCTCCTAATTCTACTAGCGTTACAAGCATACGGGTGAAGGATAGGACATGATTATTTTCTCGGAACACTATCTCCCCCTCCCATGGGTTCCTCAGGACATCAATGCCAATATTCCTCCTAATTCTACTAGGGTTACAAGCATACGGGTAAAGGATAGGACATGATTTCTCTCAGGAGCTCCATCTCTTCCCTCGGGATCCTCAGAACACCATTTCAAAGTTATCTCTTACTGCTGCCGTGGTGACAATTATACATGACAAGGTGGGACATAACGTCTAAAGATTCTTAAAACAACCAAACGGTGTCAACCCTTCCCATCCTCTTTCAGCAGCACGGTGGCTAGACAGGGTTCTCTCTAAACACAAGTCTACTCCCATTCTCGGCACTGTGGACCTTCTGATGGATGACCAGACTGGACCTCAGCATGAAAACATCCCCGCAATCCGGGCACGTAAAGTGGCGCATGCCTTTCTGAGTCTTCTTTTGGGTGACAGACTGCGGCTCTCTGATAAAATTGGCGCCACACGCGGTGCAAGAGAAGGGCCCGATTTCGGCGTATAACTTCTGCTGCAACACCAGGCACTGCTTCTGTGCGCACTCGGTGCATTTGTATTGCTTCTCGCCCATGTGGAGTCGCTGGTGTCGCAGGTAGTTCGCCTTCTGGGCAAACTGTTTGCCGCATTCGGAGCACGAATACGGCTTCTTCCCCGAATGGATGTGCTGGTGGAGAATGAGGCTGGACTTGTGTTTGAAGAACAGGCCGCACTCGCCGCACGGAAAGGGCTTATCGCCCGCCATAGCCGGGTGGGTGATGGTCAGGACCTCTGGGCTCACCGCAGGATTGGTGTCCCACCCCGAGACATCATCTGATTTCCATCCACTCAAGCGGTCTTCAAAATTGGTGCCATCTGCTGCCCCGTAAGGTTGAGAAGTCATCCTCCGACAGTCCACTGGAATAAAGAAGCTCAGATGAACTCATGGGCATGGCTTTATCATTAATCATCTAAGAGGGCATTTCCCTGACTTTGGAGAGAGTTCCACTGACTTCCTGTTGGGTCTACAGGACAGGAAGTGAAAGGAACTATCAATAGTTGTGTGTAGTTGCTCTCAGGCAGGTCATCACACACATTTTATCCATCCAACCAATCAAACCATGATTGGCCCCACCTCTGCCCTCATTTACCTGGGATGAAGTCTGTATCCTCCTCCTCTTCTCCGATCACCACTACTTCCTGTTCCTTGGTCTCTGATCTGATGAAGACGTTCTGAGCTCCGGGGGTGCCACCCTAAACAACAGGAAGTGATCAGTTTAAGTATTAAAGAAGACCTGTAGGGGGTAGGAGTGGAATGAGAGATGGTGGAGGGTGAAAGTCCAGCGGGGTTCTGTATAGAACGGCCGCTGCACAGCAAGTCCTGCACCACCATCATCTTCTTTGAGGTCATCAAGGGGACAGTTGTCTCTTTTGGGTCCCTGGTGTTGTCTATTTGCTGTGACATGTCATCAAGTGGCCAGCTGAAAGGCCCAGGAAGAGGCAGCCGCCCCATTGTATACTACCCTGAGGCCTCCCGTGATGCATGACATTGGTATCTCAGTAGGCTTTTGGGAATGCCTACGTCCTTCTCGCCTCGGTGAGAATTTAGGAAGTTCCCTTACATACATCTATTGATATATCTGATTGTTAGACAAAAGAGGGGAAGTAGTACAGTGAGAGAAAGTAGGTGTTGGGTCCATTTTAAAGAGGATCTGTCATAAAGTAAGCGCACACAAAAGGGTTAATCCATTGCCACCCACTTGGTTTACACTCTGACCAACCAAAAACCAAATCCTTCATTGGCTTGCTATACACAACATCTGGAAGATTAAACGAGGCCTGCGGTAGGAGTGGTTGCTCTATATAGGGAGAAGGACAGAGCTTAGGATGGGCTTCACCAGCCTGGTGACATTCACTCATAACCCAGGAGCAGGCAGGTGGTGGAACAGGGGGCCTGAGTTAATCTACCTCATCATACTTCAGCTCTCCCTCTGCATGGCTCTCCTTGGAATGTCCAGATTTGGATTGTTTCCACAAAGCATTGCCGCCAGGTTCTTCTGAAAAAGAGATGGAGTGAGAGGATGGATGGGAAGAGCCAGACAGAGAGACAATAGCCAATCCCAAGAACCTCTATACGCACCTTGCCCGGTATCTACAAGATCTTCCTCCTCAAAGTGCGACTCCACCATTACTATGTTCAGGTGTTTCTGCCAGACGACACCAAATCCCGAGAGAGAGAGAGGACAAAAAAACAGCAACGTTAAAAAGGAACCCCGAGAACGTCATATCAATGCACAGAACCCCAATCTAACACGAAACAGGCTGCTGTGGGACAAGGAGTATCCAGCCATGCCATGTGACCTAGCACCGCACCCCCAAACTACAACTCCCAGTATCCTTTATGGCTTTATAAGTGGAGCACTGAAAGCGACCAGGCGAGTGGTAGGAAGGGACGCGGCTGGCCTAATCAATAAAGGAGTTGCAGAGGATCGGAGACACTAGACTGACAGCACTGTGCAAGGCAACCGTACCATGATTGACTGACAGTACTGGCCCCTCCCCTTCCCATAATTCTAACCCATGCTGCTGAGGATTACAGAAAGACAATAGGAATTCAGATACTTATACTACCTAGGATCAAGATTTCAGCTTTAACAATCAGATCAACTAAAATCATATGCATTCTATATTTGATATTTTCCTTGGATATGTACCCGATAATCACTTCCTCCTTCCTGTGAGGAGTCCCAGGAATACAGAGGACTGGCCTGGGAGATCTCCTGATGTTCCTGAGGGATCTCTTGATGACCCTCCATGCAGTCCTGGAGATACAAAGGACTGGCCTGAGAGATCTCCTGATGTTCCTGTGGGATCTCCTGATGTTCCTGTGTGGAATCCTGGGAATACAGAGGACGGGGACATCTCTCTGGTGGGTTCCTCTTATTGGATCCATCTGTAGGAAACACACACACACTGATTGAATACATTGTTTCTATGTCTTTATATCAGAGGATGTGTGTATCTAGGGGGATCCTCAATACTCAGGAAATGAAAGTCTCCTCTTACCCGGTGATGTGAGGGGCGGCTGATCCTCCATCACGATGTCCTTGTAGAGCTCCTTGTGTCCTTCTAGATCCTACTCCATGGATGGAAACATTGTGCTGCACGGAATTCACCAGATTCGTTTCATGTGGGTCTGTAAAACACACAGTACGGGTTGAAGGGTTGGGCTATCCTCAGTCACTATGTAGAGGAAGACAAAGTAAGGAACACAAAAGGAGGATTAGAAGGTTCCAACTGAGCCCAGTGGTGTGTGATGACCTCTATGGACTGGGCGGCAGTCCCCCGACCCCCCCGAATGAGATGGTTGAAGGGTATCTAATCCCAAGAATAGAAATGTTAGAACACCTGATAACCCGTCCATAGATGTGGTGGCGTCATTGGATTTCTTTACTAGGTGACCCTCCCAGTAACACACTTCCTGTCCTAGGGTGACAATGCTCCCTGACTGTTCTATCTATAGAGGAGCAACAAGCCACCCAGCTGACTCTGGTCAGTCAAGCCAGCAAGACTCATCCAATGTTGGACATCTCGATGTATCCATCAAGAAGGCCATACATTGGTCTATTATTGGCTGAGTACTTAGCAGATGTCTGAACGCCGATAACCAGAGACTTTTAATTAGGTGCGTCTTCAAATTGAAGGGGAGGTACCTTATTTCCACGAAATAGGTTGCCCGGTCCTCATGTGTCATAAAGAGGATCGGCAGTCCAGTCTGAGCTTTGATGTCTGCCAAGGACCCAAATCTACACTTCATGAAGCCTGGTATGTTAGCGCTCTATTAATACCATCTGCGCCAATGGATAAGTCAATTACAATTGATTTGATACCAAACACAACTATGTTAAATCACCCAACCGGCAATTTGGCCACATTCAATGTCCTAAAAGATGTATATACACACTCAACATTTGCCAGCCCTTCCTTCACCACTCTGTCAGCCCTTCTCTACCCCCATAGATCCCTAGTCCTTCCCAACCCCACACTCCTTGCCTGCCCTTACCCGGGCTCTCACCACAATACATGCATCTCCCCCTGAGCTCTGCACATTGCCTGGCTCCCCGGCGTCCAGTCCTGGCTCATCCCACCCCCTAGAGGCCGCTCCGTCCTCCCGCGGTCCGCTCTCGGGCTGATGGCTCACCTGTCTGGCCAGGTCACAGCCGGATTGGCCGCTCTATAAGAGACGCATCTGCCTCCAGTTCGCAATCACTAAAATGTAAACTCCCCTAAAACATGTCGGCTCTTTATTATGTCATTGGCTCCCCGCTGCGAACGCTGGAGCGCAGCTGCCATTCTCCAGACGTGTCCCCGCAGAGGGAGGACATGTTGTCGGAGCCGCCCGACCTGGCCGCAGCTAGATTGTCTAGGGCAAAATGGCCGCCGTCCCGCAAACAGCCTCTATGGGGAACAGGTTAAACTTCCGGTGACGTCATGAAAGAGCTGTGCATTTCTCCAACCTTTCCTCCTGGGGATGTGTGATAACTGCAGAATATTATATGACATCATCATCATCATCAGATGTCCCATAATAGAACAACTCACCACAAAACACCCAACATAGAGCCTCTCATAATGGGTACAGCAGGTGTATTAGGGTTGCCACCTGTCCAGTATTCACCCGGACAGTTCGGGTTTTGAATGCTGTGTCCGGGTTTCATGGCAGCAGAAACCTGGACACAAGATGTCAGGCAGACAGGGGCAACCAAAATTAATATAGGGGCTTTGGGTCCCCCACTGTACAGTCTCGACTGATATTTACATATGAATAAGCCACGACTCCAAAAAAAGTCTACGCGCCGCTAGAGTGTTCGGGTTTTGCTTGAAGAAAAGGTGCCAACCCTAAGGTGTACAGACCCGGGAGCTCAGCACAGGGATGGTGGGAGTTCCTCATAATGGGCACAGCGGGTGTACAGACCCGGGAACTCAGCACAGGGATGGAGGGAGCTCCTCATAATGGGCACAGCGGGTGTACAGACCCGGGAACTCAGCACAGGGATGGAGGGAGCTCCTCATAATGGGCACAGCGGGTGTACAGACCCGGGAACTCAGCACAGGCATGGTGGGAGCTCCTCATAATGGGCACAGCGGTTGTACAGATCAGGAACTCAGCTCAGGGATGGGGGGAGCTCCTCATAATGGGCACATCAAGTGAACAGACCCAGGAACTCAGCACAGGGATGGGGGGAGCCCCTCATAATGGGCACAGCGGGGGTACAGACCCGGGAACTCAGCTCAGGGATGGGGGGAGCTCCTCATAATGGGCACAGCGGGGGTACAGACCCGGGAACTCAGCTCAGGGATGGGGGGAGCTCCTCATAATGGGCACAGCGGGGGTACAGACCCGGGAACTCAGCTCAGGGATGGGGGGAGCTCCTCATAATGGGCACAGCGGGGGTACAGACCCGGGAACTCAGCTCAGGGATGGGGGGAGCTCCTCATAATGGGCACAGCGGGGGTACAGACCCGGGAACTCAGCTCAGGGATGGGGGGAGCTCCTCATAATGGGCACAGCGGGGGTACAGACCCGGGAACTCAGCACAGGGATGGTGGGAGCTCCTCATAATGGGCACAGCAGGTGTACAGCTCAGAAATCGCTAAGAAATAGAAGATTCTATCAGGTGGGTAATGCTCCGGCACCTACCAAACATTGAAATATCATTTTTGGTGTGGACTGACCCTGTAAAGTGTTCCTGTATTTCACCCGCAGGCCCTCCAACATGCCCCAAAGCTCCTTCCTAAATGTTGTCTCCTTCGTGGTGTAGCAAAGGCCTGCCCTGCAGCACAGCAATCCCTCCATTGACGTGCCTGAACATGCACTACCTAGGCTTTGACTTTCAGAAAGTCATAATTTGCATAGTCACACCCACATAGATCTGTACTTGTGCATAGCCACACCCACATAGAGCTGTACTTGTGCATAGCCACACCCACATAGAGCTGTACCCGTGCATAGCCACACCCACATAGATATGTACTTGTGCATAGCCACACCCACATAGAGATGTACCCGTGCATAGCCACACCCACATAGATCTGTACTCGTGCATAGCCACACCCACATAGATCTGTACTTGTGCATAGCCACACCCACATAGATCTGTACTTGTGCATAGCCACACCCACATAGATCTGTACTCGTGCATAGCCACACCCACATAGATATGTACTCATGCGTAGCCACACCCACACATATATGTACTCATGCGTAGCCACACCCACACAGCTCTGTACTCATGCGTAGCCACACCCACATAGATCTGTACTTGTGTAGCCACACCCACATATATCTGTACTCATGTATAGCCACACCCACATAGATCAGTACTCCTGCATAGCCACACCCACATAGATCTGTACTGGTGCATAGCCACACCCACATAGATTTGTACTCCTGCATAGCCACACCCACATAGATCTGTACTCGTGCATAGCCACACCCACATAGGGCAACTGTCATTAGACCATGTTGAGAATATAAAGCAGCCATGAGCACTTATCAGGCCAGGGGAAGGTGACTTCCTGTGGTCACGTGATGGAAGGACCTCTGGCTCAAGCCGCCGGGCCAAGGTGTGTGGTGGAAGCTACGCGGAAGGTAACAACCAGCCACTCCCGTTCTTCACTTTTTGGGGAGACAAATCCAGAAGCTTCCAGTTCAAGGAGCCCCACACTCAGCTTACCGGGCCTTCTAATTTTAAGGGTTACCACTTACCTGCTCAAACACCAGGAATGGTGATGGAAGGAACATGTCCTCCTGGTCTTCCACACGTGATACATGGAATTGCCCTCATGTCAGGTTGGATGGCTGCCCTGTACGCTAAGGTGACCACACACTCTGGTCAATCTCCGTACAACCCCCATAACTGGAAAGCAGCTCCCATGATTGAAAGCTCTAGACTTGTTTTTGGTGAGACTAGAGGGTTTGATCTCAGTCTGGGCTCAACAGGGAGGCTACGGCCCGACCTTTAGTTCAGAATTGTAATGTATGGGCAGCATTGGCTCACACCATGGTCCTGAGGAGCAGGCGGGAAGAAAGTTGGGGCTTCAAAGACGCACAAAGTGGATAGCACATGACTTCCTGTTCATCCAGTTTACTCCTAGCAGCTCCATCTCTGCCTATTGTTTCCTCAGAGCACCCAAGCCTCAGATGTACCTCCTTAGTACTGATATGGTATCAAGGATACAAAATAGGAGTGAGGTCTACCCCACCGCATAAGGTCACAAGACGTCCCTTAGCCATCCCTATGATGTCCTGGATATCAGAAGATGAGTAGGAACGTTGAGGTGTCATCTGCTCTGAGGTCCTGAGAAGCCGGATGGAAGAGGGAGGGAGATAGCGATAAACGGAACAGTAAATTGGTTTCATGTGTCCATCTCCCTCAAGTTTCCATCCAGAAGCTCCATCTCTGCCCATGAGTTCCTCAGAGCACCCAAGCCTCAGATGTACCTCCTAGACTAATATGGTATCAAGGATACAAAATAGGAGTGAGGTCTACCCCACCGCATAAGGTCACAAGACGTCCCTTAGCCATCTCTTTGATGTCCTGGATATCAGAAGATGAGTAGGAGCGTTGAGGTGTCATCTGCTTTGAGGTCCTGAGAAGCCGGATGGAAGAGGGAGGGAGATAGCAATAAACTGAAGAGTAAATTGGTGTCATGTGTCCATCTCCCTCAAGTTTCCTCCCAGCAGCTCCATCTCTGCTCAAGAGTTCCTCAGAAGACCAATGCCAACATATCTCCTAGTTTTTCCACCGGAACAAACATACAAGGTGACGGTGGGGTGTCTTAGATAGGGAACTGTGGGACCTGATTTTTATCTCCCTTGGCATTAGGTCTTCTCAACAGGTCATCTTTGAGCATGAGACACTTCCCACTATGCTGGGCTGGTCCACCACTGCCTCATAACCATAGATAAAACTTGTGACCAACTAATTGACACTACATCGTTCAACAATCAGCTTTATAAAGAAAAAAACATGAGCTGCTTGGAGAAGATTGTGATGTGTGTGGGGTGAAGATAGGTGTGATTGTACTAGTTTGCTGAGGAGCTGATGGGAAGGAAGAGGGAGCTACAGAGGGACAAAATCTTGAAGGTCCAATGTGACTTTCTCCCTCCAGTTTTCTCTCAAGAGCTCCATCTTTTCCCGTGGGTTCCTTAGAACACCAATCCCAACTTTACCAACTCAAATTCTCTGTTCATGGTTCTCCCAAGGTAACAAGCACACAGGTTTTGTTGGTGGGGCATAGTTTATTTATTTTTATTTTTTTTTAAATTCGTTTATTAACTGACAAATCCGACAGTACAAAGTTATAGCAATGAGCATTGATACATATGTTACAAACAACAACATGTGAACACTTGTTGTACAGAGAAATTCCACTGTTAGTGGCAAACAGATCAAAGACCATTTGTATAACAACAGTCAAAACATTCCAACTGTGATGTCTAACAGCCTCTGGCATGTGCGTAGTTTGAGAGAAACATAAAACTAATCTATAATCTAGCCGGCTGTGTCAGTATTAACAATATATAACCTCTGGGGGAGCATCACGAGCCCCTTAGAACCATTATTGTGAAGCCATTTTTGTAGGAGCACACACTCAGCTTCTCCCTAGACATGGTAGCAGGCGCAAGTAGCAAATGAGTGAAGAGGAAGAACAGAAAAAGCAACAGAGGACCAGTGTCCTAGAGCATGAGGGAAGAAATAGAGGAAGAATAGAGTCCCGAATCGCCTCCCTGCGCTCCCATCTTAGGGGGTCCAACCTCATCCGACCTCTTAGGTGGTGTGGCCCTGAGCTGAATGGAGCCCTTCAGAAGGCGCGTCCCAGGCAGGCAGGCACGGCCAAAGGGTTCAGTGAGTCAGGGTTCCCCTGCCAGGAGATCCGCAAATTTAGTTGAGTGTTGGAAGTAAATCCAGGGTCCCCAGGTTGTCAAGAGTCTCCCTTCAGTGTTCCTAAGGGACGCTGTCAAGTCCTCCATGGCATACACCTCCCGTACTTTGGAGAGCCATAATGAGATGGAGGGTGGATTTGTTTGTTTCCATAACAGGGGGATGGAGGCTCTCGCTGCATCCAAGAGGTGGCGTGTGAGTGATTGCCGATATTTCGAGAGTGGGGTGGCAGACATGTGTAGAAGACACGCTGCTGGGTTATTCCTCAAATCCACCATGGTCAGGTCCTGGATAACGGACAACACCTGCTCCCAGAAGGGTCTCAGTCTTGGGCAGGACCAAAAGATATGGAGCATTGTACCAGAATCAGAACCACAATGAGGAGCTGATGGGAAGGAAGAGGGAGCTACAGAGGGACAAAATCTTGAAGGTCCAATGTGACTTTCTCCCTCCAGTTTTCTC